TGAGAAATAGAAAAAAAAAAAAAAAGCAGCAAAACAGCATGCTAAGGATAAGTCCAGAGATGGCAAATGCAAGTCTACCAAACACACAAAAACAACTGCAAGGAAATAGCAGAATTTTTCAAACAAAGCTGCCTGGGGAGCAATTTTTCTATGCTTACAGTTAGCTTCCAAGTGTGTTCCCTCTGCTGAAGGGAGCATGTGCTTAACACATGTGCTGGCTCAGGATTAGGAAACTGACAGTTGTGGGTATTGCAGAATATGCTGACATGCCTGTGCAGCTCTACTGGAAGGGGATTATATATCCCACTGGTACCAGGCTGAGAGAGATCCTGGGAATAAGGAAATTGGCACATGCAGGTAACCAGTCATTCAAAACTGCAAGATTGGAACAATTCTATTGCAAACCCTCCCCATCCCATCCTCATACTCAACTGCCAAGCCCAGGACGAACGAAGGTCATTGATTGCATTGAAACCCTCCTCTCCAGCAGGAAACCAGCTTTTCTGGCCATCAGCTGTAGCAGCTCACCACGGGACCCCCGCGATCGCGCTGGACTCCCACAAGCGAAGCAGGATGCTGCCTGCCCCCCTCCTGCATGGAAAGGCAGGACATGGTGCTGGTAGCGCTGTGCCTGGTGCCCAGGCTCTCTGGGCCCCACTGTACCAGCAGCACACCCTCCAACAACAGCGTTTTGAAGATGCCAGGAAAGAGAAGGCAATTCCACACAAGAAACATAATGCTGGAAGCCTCAACTGCTTCTGACCATCGCAGATCCAGCCACACTTTCCACAAGAATAGTTCATGTTTGTGTAACTGCGTTTACTGGGTAATTATACTTCCTTAAATTGTCCCAGCAGTTTCAATTTGCCACAGTGCTATTCACTTCCTTTCAAGATGCCGTGGAGTGCTGCAGCACGCTGACAAGCAGCTGGTACATTTCACCAAGAAGTGACTGCATGGCAGAGGTGGGTGAAAGCCATTCCTTTGTGCTCATCGTGTGCTTGCACATCCTACTGGGCCCGTAAAATGTTTTGGGGTTCCGTGGGGGTGAAGAAAACGTAGGGTAATAGTTAGCTACCAAATAGTAACATAACTCATGGTGATGTAGCTAGGATGTTATAGGCTTTTAATTGAATATAATCTTGTGAAAAGCTGCTCCCTCTGGTGGGTGAGCAGAACATCACAGCTCAACAGAAATAAAGTTAGAATTTTTATAAATTCTAGCCTCTACACTTAACACACAGTAACAGCCACAATTTAGCTTATTTCAGCAACTGAAAAAATCACCACTACAGACGAGAAGCTGACAGCAAATATGCTGCCTGGAAAATGCTGTCCAGGAAGATGCCACTGCTGCACTGTGTGCACACCCCACCTGCCCCACATCATCAACTCCTTGTGCAACAGTGTGTCAAAGAGCAGACATTTTTGTTCATTGTTTGAAAAGCCAGGCTTTTATCCTGCTTATCCAGCCTCTTAGCTATGCCTTAAAAGTCAGCATGAGGCAGCTGTTCCTCATTTCCTCTACGAAACCACTGGGGAATTCTGTAATATCAGGATTTTATTCCAGAGAGGGATAAAACCCTCTGTTACCTTCACAGTGGGTGACTAAAGTAGTAGCATTTGTGGGTACCCCATGAGTGCTCTCCAACAGCAGATGAGGGGAGTTCAGCTCCAAGGGTGCTATCACTGCAAGATCTCTTGGACCATGATTGACTTCTGTACAGGGAAACTCCACGCCTGAAGCATCTCCAGGTTCGACATCTCATCTGTTAATCTCAGACCATCTTTTTTCTCCACATCTTTTTCTTGCCAGGTTGCAATAGAGATCAAGGGAGATCATACAGCAGTTTCAGCAAAAACCCTCTGACACCTTTAGGCATCTCTGCACAATAACAACAAAAAAAAAAAACACCCAACCCCAAAACCCTCCACGAACTCAAAAAATCCAAAACACTAAACCAAAACCCAAAAAAGAAAGCACACTACTTCTATTTAAAAAAATATTAGGGTATTCTCTGGTGGTCTCTCCAAGAAAGGGAGATTCCAGGTAATAAACTGAAAGATGCTGTCTGACCCAATGACTTATCTGTGTAATCAGGCATCTTAATAATTAAGATCAGTGGTAATATTCATGCCACGCCATCAGATAGCAGATTACAGCTTCCACAGCCTCAAGCAAAATGCTGTTACATGTCTGCTTTGCTATGGAAACAGCTTGGTGTTATTTACAGTATTCATTAGAAGGGTGAGTACTATTAGAGCTACAAAACTGTACTCCAAATAAGATTCAGCTATTAATAGCATACTGACATACACATTTACATAAGATTATGTCTTCCTTCTAATTATTTCCTAAGCTAAATTTAACTATGAAATCAATCAGACTCAAAGGGAGAAGTTTTTCTTTGCTCATAATTTTATCAGGCCTGTGACCTATGAAGCCAAATTTTGTGTGGTCTGTGAAGCAATGGCAATTTTATTTTAAAGAAAACTTTGCAGTCTGTGAGCATGAACAGCAAAATTAACGACTGAAGTCCACACATGCCCTGAAATGGCGACAGTCTCTTTTTCTTCAACATCTGACTAATTTTATCAAAACATGCAACTGTTGGAACAGTTTTGTCAGACTGCTGGTTTCAGCCTTACTGAGTAAGCTCCGGTACAGCAAAACCTTAGTTGGTTTTGCAATCAAATCATGGAATGCTTCCTTTCAACACAGAAATGGGGCTAACAGGCACCCCAGGTATGTCACTTCTTCACTCATTTGCAGACTCTGCCTTCAGACTGAAGTCAGGTAATTTATAAGATGAACAAAACCCATAAGCATTTTAATATGTCCAAGTGGTCCATTCTTCCCCACCATTCCAGTGAGCAGTTCCACATATGGGGACCAGTGCAGACCAGCTTCCCACAGCAGCAAATGACTCTACACATGCCCAAGATGCAAACATTAACTGAAGCTCCTCCAGCAGCTGGGACATCAGACCTTCTGCTCCTGTTAATCCCCAGAGAGTTGCTATTCACACTGCTGCCTTTTCCTCCCTGCACTTTTCCAATTTAGGAAACTTTGGGTTTCAATGCCTTTCTCCTACAGTTTTTATTTCTGAGTGCCCCAGTATTTTCAGAGGCGGCAATGACTTTCGTTCATTAGAAGTTAAGCAGCACATCTCAGAACCCTAAAGCAAGGCAGCACAGAGCTGATGTCCTCACGATCATTGCCTTCCACCTGCTTCTCTACCAGCATGAATGTCCTAAGGGTTTCCGTAAGCTATTCTGGAACATCACTAAAAATGCTCTGGCTGACTTCCCTCCTCACCTACCTCCTGGGTAGCTCTAGTGTGAAGAAAGAGATTTTCACATTATCCAAGCATATGGGCACAAATTTTCAAGAGAAGCATGGAATCAAGTGTAATTTAATTAATTTTTCTTTCTCCTTCATGTGTCCATCATTAAAAAAGTCTATTTAAAACACTAGACTTGTATCAATACTAGAGCATGCTAGTAGGATTTAGCAGTCAAACACCTACAAACATACTGAGAATGGGTGCAGTACTACTGAAATCCCAAGATGACAAGTGGTTTCTGCACAAGTAAAATAAAGTTATCGCTTGAGACAGAAAGAGTTACACCAAATCTGGAGCACAATCAGTCACTTAGATAAATGCAGGATTATCACATTCCCACAAACATTTGCCTTAATGCTACCAAAAATGTACCGCTGTCCTTTAATGATAGCTAACTCAAAAAAGTAAAACAATGCTAGAATTAAAATGACCTAGTTCTAACTAATTTTACGTTGTCTGTAAGGATACACTCGATATTTGACAGGGAAGTATAGAAATGAAAGTGCATTGCCATCTTGAGGCTGACTAGCGGAACTGCATGTCCCAAACAAAACAACAGATACTGGTTACCAGGTGCAACAGTAGTTTAGCCAATGTGCCAAAGCCATTATAAAACACACAGCATTAACACAATGTGTTTTATCTTTATTTTTATGCCAGAGCCCCTGCAGTTCCTTTTCTGTACTTTCAAAAAGACAAAACCCTTAACAGTAGAACTTTAAAGCTATTTAGCATCTTAGCTCCTGTTAGAAGGAGAATCAAGAATATTCATCTTTCTTACAAGAAAAATATGCAGTTAAATTTTAATTAGCAATACAGATTTCCCAGGTCCTTTGAAATTACTACTCAAGTTTAGTTCAGCACCAAGGACTGATTCAGTTTAAGAAACAAGTTACATTAAAAGATAACCCCAAATTATTGCATATAATATTACAAAAGTATAGAGAGACAGCTACACATACTGCATGTCTTAATACAGATAGGGTTGTAACATAGGAGTATTCAGAAAAAAAAATGGCATGCTTTCCAGACATAAGACATTTTGGTAAGGGTTTAAAAGGATAACAATCACTAAACTACATTCAAAGCTATTTGAACTTGTCCTTGCAAGAATCTACCTTTAAACAAAACTCCGTATCACAAACCTATGCAATGGTACTATGGCACCCTGCTCAAATAAAATCTGTGTCAAATACATCACCACTCTAATGTTTTAGTTGTTTGTTTTTAAAGTAACATGTACTCCTTTTTTAATTAACCTTTTTTTTAATTAACACCTGCTTGGAAAAAATATCTGTCGGTATTCCTACTCCTGAAATAGCATGGAATATGCTCTGCTGAATTTACAGTCACATGGGAAACACCAACTTGAAACTGTATCTATATGTTTAATTGTTATATATGCTTTTAATAGAGGTCAGAGACATCAGATTTTGCTTGTTTGTGAAATCAGTTACATCTATGAGACTACTTACAAAGAGATACTGGTTTACTAAAACTGCTAAAGCAGTTTTCTGAACAAATTGGCTTGCACTCAAAACACACACATGGCCGTTTGAAGGCTGTTTTTCTTTCACCTATGGTGAAGTGTGTTTTAAAGACCTTTGGATAGCTCAGGAAAAGTGAACAAGAAAAAGCCTCGCTGACAGTTACCTGCTTGGTTTGCAGGCTGCCAGCCTGAGTACTTGGCAGCACTCTGGAGTCCCGCTGGCTTGAGGGCTGCGGCAGATGTGGTGCTGGTGGAAGCAGGTCTCACATCCGCGTTTTCTGGGCAGGCGGGCATGCTCCTTGCCGAGGAGGCCATAAAAGCAGCGGACTGGGTAGTCTCCAGGGAATCACTGCTCAGAAACAGAGGAAAAATTAAATTGCATTTCTTGCTAGGGCAACAGCATTTTTGAAACAGAGATTTGGAATGACATCCCTGCACCCTGGTGCAACAGAGCAGCACCCACTACTCCGTCATCACTGATGCTGGGGTGATCATCCCAGGACAACATTCTGTGAGTTCTATTTGTAAGCTATTGTTTTAAGAATAGGAAAAGTCAGTTTATGTAAGTAAATGCTTCGCAACTTCCAATTAAAAAAATTAAGTGTTGGTGTGACGCAGGTTAAAGCAGAACCATTACTGTAAATTTGGTACACTCCCAGACTTTTTCAATATTTTTTTTTCTTGGAGAGTAGGAAAATACCCATATAGTCAGATTATAATTATAGATCTTAATAAAAATCATCAATCTGAAAGTGACCTAATTAAATGCAATTTTCTTCTATGGGCCACTGCTCCCCCAAATGATTAAGTATTTTAAAAGAGCTATAAGCTTCTTTATTCATTAAATGATATGCATAATATTTTATATTGTCGCTTTAGAGCGGTTTACAGCTGCCTTTATATTTTAACAGTTAGCATAACTCTTTTAGCTATTTAAAAACACAAATGATGAAAACCGCGCTTAATCGCGATCCACATAGAACGTAAGCAGCCACTAATTACATTGCCAGCAAGAAAATTTTTCATTTCTCGTTTCGAGAGGCTGTTCAAGTATAAGAAATTCACCATAAAATTTTTATGTGGTGTAGCAGTATTTGTACAATGGATATTTGCCTTTGCAGTGCTGAAAACAAATATTTTCATTAAAAACCTTCAAAGTAGAGGAGTGATTGCTCATGAAGGTCATTTGCAAACTGAGAGGATCACAAAACCAAGACATGAACTCAACAATGTTGCAAAGTAGAGCCAAAACAATTCCAAATACATATTTTGTGCAATCTGGAAACCCATCAGTTAACACACTGGAAGCCCTGTATTCTGTCCTATATTAAAGAAAAACAAATTTACAGCACACATGCATCGTGCATATTTCATTGGGGTCATTCACCTAATTATACATTGTGCCAAGTTCGTAAAGTAAAAATCCTTGAGCTATTTTTACAAGTATTGCACACGCACAATATTGTCTTGCCCATACGACATGCAAGAACTTGAACACACCATGAGGCCAAAACACAGGTTCACAGCCCTGATTTTTTTGCCTCCAGCTTTACAGGGTTAATAAGTGATGTATTTAGAATCTTTTTCTGGGTAAGGGATAAAAAAATATTCACAGCTTAGAGAATATACCTGAATGCTCAGTTTAATGAGTAACAGCTATTGCATTTGTAGGCTTTTGCTAACAGCAGTAGCTGTGCTGAACTGACACTGATGGATTTGCAGTACACAGCGTGCACAGGTGCAGTGAAGCACAAAGCGAGACCTTGCGTTCTGTTACGTTCAAATGTTAAAAGCGATTTAAAGACATTTGTATACCACAAATGGAGGCACTTCAGGGACACGTCAGAATCCTTAAAGGCTTAGGATACAAGTCTCCCTAACAACAGGGTTTGAGGCAACAGAGACAGACTGCACAGAAGCGCTGTGCACGCTCCAAGAAAAAGGATGGGAAGACATCCTCTGACATGAAGTAGCAGCTCGGTGTTCAAGATGACAAGGTAGTTTAGGACTGGCTGCCACTATGAAAAAAGTGCATGTCTGCAACTTCAGTGTCACACAAATGTCTTTCTGCATTGTTGAGTACATTTGACACATAACCCATCAAACTCGCTCCAGGTCACAGCCCCATTACAACTTTAAGAATTCCTCAAAAGACTGCTGGTCCTACAAAAAGAATGTTTCTTCCTTCCCCATCCAAAAGACTCACCACCACTTGTCAAATCATTTTTCAAGTCTAGCACCTCTTTACTGCCGTTGTCTGGAACATATAAATCATAAATAATATAAATCATCTATCATAATAAGAAAATCCTGCTGAGTCAGCACATGCCTTCACACAGAAGAGGCTACTTAATAAGCCAAAATGGATCCGAGACAAGAAAAAAAGGGTGTCCTTCAGGCAGAAGGATAGAGAAATGTAGAAATGGCTGAGGTGTGCTGCTGGCAAACTGTAGCCTTATTGTAAGAACAGGCAAGGAACCAGTCAGTGATGTCGGCCACAAGGCTGGTTGCAGCGCTGATTGGTACCTCCCCCATCGCCACTTCTGTGGTTTAGTTCTGAGGCTTGTGAACGATGTGGCCTGCTAGTTCCTGAGGTAACAGATTATTGGAGACACTTAGGCTTTCATTTAGAAATCAGGTGAATCCTAATGACCCCCAAAATAAACCCAGCTATAAAACTACCTGCGATTTTTTCATCACCTCCCATGGTTTATGTGCTGGGAGCCTATCCTAGAGAGAAGCTTCCCAAGGGAAGAGCTTGAAGTCATCGCTCTGACAGAGGGCACCATGTTGGCCTCTGGGCAAAACTTCTGACAGGTCTTGGACACCCTTGGTATTTTGTGCCTGGCTCTTTCAAGCAAGAGTTGAACAAACTCAAGGTGGCACTACAGCCTGTTAAGATTTTCTCCCTGCATGGTGAGCAAATAATGGATAAACATAAAGCCAGTTTCAGAGTCAGGAAGAACGTTTCCATTCTTGTAACAACCAACCTTCATGTGCAGCTTATGCCATAAACAATGCACATTAGTGAGTGAGGGACAAAAGAAAAGGGAAGTTAGGGAATAAATTTTCACCACTCTACTAAAGTATCAGCAAGCAAACAAACGCTACAGCAAAGGAATAAAATCTTGCTGGCAGCACTGTCCCAGACTTCACCCGTGGGGCACAAATATCAGGACTCCTGGAGAGGTTTTCCCTTTGGATGTGTACATAAAAAAATTTCCTAATAATGTGACAGCAAAAAGAAAATTAGTATTTAAGGTTGTATCACTGTAATTCTGAAAATAGTTTTTCCTTCTTAAAGTGGATATGACACAACATTTGAAATTTTGATACAACTTAAGATGTTCTGTGTCTAATAACTACTATTTCCTTTCCCCAAGGTTAGGGCTATTTTAGCCTCTTCTAGTGACTGAGGTCACCTTGGAAGCCATGAAACAGGAGGGAAAGAACTAATACTTCTTACTTGTGCTGGGTTCAGTATTTAATTTCTACATCAAGTAGATTTCAGCTCTACTTATAACTGGGCCTTATCTCTAGAAGGGTTTTTTTGTCTTGTGAAAGTGCAAATAAGCACATGAAAACCCACAAATTATTTCTTCCTTAGCAAAACTTAACACACACTGTCCTGTGAAACAACCTTTGAGACTGAAGTCAATTACATAAAAGCAGCTTTCCTTAGAAGGAAGCATTAACATAGCTGCGGTCAGGAAATGAGAACACCAAGTCCTGTGCACTGAACAGTATCAGCACTGGAACAAAGGGCTTAGACAGCAAATAATTTTTAAAATAGTTATTTACTGCCCTGTACGCCAGTTATTTCATTTTATACATTAAAAGCGAGCTTTGAAAGAGAGCAGCACTCTGTTCCCGGAGCACCTTCGCAGCCTAACTGACGCTTACTTGCTCAAGGAACTGTTGCAAATAATTCACCTGGATTGAGGTTTCCAGTCAGAATATCTTGTTTCTTCTCCAGTCAGCTATTTAGAGTGAGAGTGCCTCCCCTGGAGGTTCACAACTCAATACAAACAGCACCATCTCAGAAAGCGACCTGTTGTCATTGAGGAAACCTTTGCTTAGTACGGTGGACTTGCATAAACACCACTGACAAGACCAGAGTGCAAATCAGTTTTGCAAAGAGGTGACATCAGTAGGATTTAGGGTTGGTGACCTTGTGCCAAAGAGCACACAGGAAGACCGCTTCAAGCATGCAGGCAACAGAAATGGGCTTCGAAGGAGAAGCCAGTTTCTTGCCAGTCCCAAGTGCCAACCATGCACCACACTCCAACAATACCTCTCACTCCTCTGCGGCTCCAGAGCACTCATGGATTTCCTAGTGGGCGCAATGCCCTGCAGAGGAGGCTTAGTGACAGGTGTGATGAGCAGGGCATCCAAGAGCGAGCGGTAGACACTAGGTTCGGAGAGTCTAGCAAGCGTTTGAAAAGACCACATAAACAAGCTGGGTGACCAAACCAAGCTCAAGTCGTTTGGGATCACTGGAAACCCAAAACCCCTTATGAAGAGCCCATAAGTTCTGTAGTAGTATGGAGAAACTGAATCTAGGATAACTGATGTAGAAACTATGTCTAAATAACCAGCCCTGAAGTGGAGGTCACACACCACAGGTGGGGTGATAAAATAAACTAAAAAAGATTCTTATTTTTACAACTAATAAAATAAAAGAGAAAATATTTTGAAAATAGTGTTTATTGCGTCTTTTCCTCATCTTTTTTTAATTTCTGGGGGTTTTGTATGTTTTATAATGTAATATATTAGTACTTTACGACATGTATATAATTTAGAAATACATAAACATACATCCATTTCATGATCAAAATTTTTTACTGATATGAAGGTATGATTGAAAAACTTGAGACCACTGGTCTAAGCAAGCCTTTATATAAGGCAATGCAGTAAAGATTTAGAAGGAAGTCAGAGAGTTAGTGCCTTCAAGCATCCAAAGGTTACTCAAAGACGCAGATTCTTCTTTGTCACCCACGTAACACATTTGTTACTTACAGTTAGTTTACTGACTGCACCATAAAACAGTTATCAAGAGGAACAGAAAGGTAGAATTACTCAGCAAGGTTCAGTGCAGCCATCTGAAGCTAAGCTAAAAATAGGGCATGGGAGCCTTGAACATATTCTAACGACTTGCCCACCATGTTATTGTGGAAGAGCTGATTTCACAACCCTGCAGGCACTGATTACTCTTCTGTGAGGCTGAACTTTCTTAAACCAAGATATAAAATGTTCCTTTGAAAGTTGATGTCTACCTGGCCCGGACAGCAACAGCAGCAGACACAGCAGCAGCAGCCATGCTCTTAATTTTTGATCTCTGCTTGAAAG